TGAGCTTCATCCTGTCAAAAGGCCAAGGCAATATAAACTCCTTGTGTGAATGATAGAGTTTGTGGCTGGGTTGCCTAGAAGATTCTAAGTCTTGAATAATCTTATACCTTTTAGCCGCTTGCAAAGATGATAATCAGTATCTAGCTAATGGTTTAGGATCCTAAGCACTCAGGATTGTTTATAGAAATAGTCACAATATTCCTTTAGTTGTGGCCATCATTGATTTTCAGGTCTCTAGCTAACTTTCCCTTTTATTTATTTATTTATTTATTTATTTTAATTTATTTGTTTGGGCATTGTTGATGGTTGCAGAGATCAAGGGAACAAAGGGTTCCTCAAAAAATGTGGGTCAGGACAGTCATTTTAGGGTTTTTGGTTGCAGCCTTTGTTGGATATGCTCAATTTTCTGGAGTTTGCATCCTTTTAGGAGCTCAAATACGTTTTTTAGGTCAGAGAGGCTTTAAGCCAGTACTTTGCTTGCTTTGTACATTTGCTGTGTTGGTTACAGCATTTCTCATCATCAGGTGTGGAGGAGATGGTTGGTCACTTGTGAAATTTTGCTCCTTTTCTTCTAATATCACTCTTTTGGGCATGCCCTGCTGGGTAACAAAAGTGATAGAAGAGAAATCCAGAATTGTTTCTCTGGTTAAGCAATAAACAAATCTCTATTGGTTTTGCAATGTCTTATATAAGGGTAAAAGGATTATGGACCCCTGGGCAGTCAAATTATTAAATTAATTTACAAGTTTAAAAATTACCACATTGCCATCCTCTGACACTTACCTTCACACTAAGAAAGTGATAAGAGGGAGAGAGTTTGCTAAAAAAGAGATGTTTGTTCACAAGTCCTTGCCTGACTGAACAAATAAGCTATTTGAGTTTGAGAAGTAAGTTGAGGTAGATAGATGATGATCTGAAGAGCTCTTCCTTGTTAACTGCCAATGAACCTAAATATGCTTTGTCTACACATGAAAAGATGAGTTCAAACTGATAGGGATGATCTTTGCTGTGTCCCAATGGAGGGGTATAGGAGAAATCAATTTACATTTAGTAACACAATCTCACATGTGGTAGTCTGCATGGTACTCAGTAATATTCCAAAACTAGTAAATATTGTTCCTATTACTCAGAGAGTGATCCCAATGTGCCCATGAGCAAACAGTAACTCAAAACTGACGTAGCTAAGTAGAAACCCGCCTTGAAGGAATCTTGAGATATCCTCATTTATATGATATAATTGTTCTAAAGTGGCTTTGATGAGGATTAGAGACTGTCTGACGACAGCATTTCATGGACAATATCTAGATTTGCGCCTTTGATATAGCACAATGAGTTCATGATCATCAAGTTGGGGTAAGTACTTCACCTTTGGTTTAGGTTTCCCTTTACTTCCCATGAAACGGGACCTTGAGCATGTTTACTATGAGAAAACATTTCCCAGATTGGTGTAAGTCACTTCAATTCCTGGAACTACTAGATGAGATCAAGATCCTTCACCAAATACCAATTATACACATTCAATGTTTCTGTTTCAAGGACTAGTGAAACAGTAACTATTTTCCTTTTACTTGTTCTTAAGTAGATCCCCAAGCTCTTGGGTTGTTTATTTGGATTCATCCAACTGAATTAGATGGATTCATTAAATTTCACTTTCTTCCTAACCATCCTTAGGAGAAAATGATTTAGTTTTACTAGATGGTTCTTAGATCGGATTCTAGGATTGGGGATGTAAACATCTCTTAATTGTGCTTGCGCTATGTGCACTGTGTTCCAAGTTTCCATCAAATTTTTTTGGTGCCAACAAAAAAACTAATTTTGGGATGGTTTGGAAATTTGTTTGCTGATATCCAAAACACTCTTAAAATTCTAATCTAACCATTTATCATAGCTCTTGTTCTGAAATTAACATTTTAAGTACTAATATAGTTCATCATTACCCTCATCCCCTGAATTACCCCCACCCCTTTCAAAAGACATGGCTTTGTAGAATGGAAACGCAGACAGATTGATGCAAATCATGTGAAGGCTGAATCAAAATTTATTTTATCTTATCAATTTGGGGACATGTATGGGTTTCATATTATTGTTAGCTTTGTGGGACTTGAAGGTAATTTATTTAATTTCTTGGGTAGAGGGAGTTCAATGTTATCTAGGGTTTAGGAGGCGTGCATTGAACTCATTTTCTTGTGGTGTGATTTTTCTCTAAAAGGATAACTTCCTTCCTGTTGGTTATCCCAAGGAAAGACTTTCGAAACTCTTGGAATAGAGGGAGAAATAAATCTAAATCTGAGTGCAATTGTACGAACAACGGGAGTCTTTCTTTGGAATTCACCCCTTCAAAAGGGTTAAGGATAAGGACTATGTTATTGCCACAGAAATGTGGCATGTAGTTAGGAAAACATGAACACCAAAGTATTAGATCTACATGGGGACATGACAGATGAACATTTCGTTTAGACTTGTATCTGGAAATTTTCATTTTTTGGATTTGCAGATTTAGTGTGATGGTTATGTCGACATGCGAGTCTATGTTGCATGGATACGAGTAAGTGTGTTAGTGTAGGACATGGGTACTGGGTGTTGGATTCTTTGAGCTTCGAAAAGTAGGATTCGGTAACAATGTGGAGTGTGAAAAAGATTTCGCAAGTTCTCCTTTTCTCAATTCACAAAAAAAAAACAGTTTGATGCTTGTTAATGAATTCATGGCTAGCATTAAGTAAATTCTAATTCTATTTATATGATTCATAGGAAAAACAACAAGTTCTTATTTTGAATTTGCAGCAAAAAAGAAACAAGATGGTGCTTGTTAATGCTATTTTCCAAAAAAATTAAACAGAGTTGGAAAGAGAGAGTGAGAGATTGGAAAATTTTGGGATTTATGTTACTCTCCAAAATTGTAGAGAGAGAGAGAGAGAGAGAGAGAGAGAGAAGAAAGAAGAGAGAGAGTCTAGAAGTACTTAACTAAAAAGTAGGTAGGGAGGACGTAGGTTAAACTTTTAGTGTACTATTTAGTTAGTTATTTAGTTTAGGAAGAAGAACGTAACT